ATTGCCTTGAGAAAATCTTCCCACTTCTATTTTGCATGAATCTCGCGTATAATAGGCACGGTGTGCTCGCGCAGTTCGAGCGCAACTTCGTTGCGCGTGAAACTTGGCGCGAGGCACTACCGTGCCTCTTGATTATTGTGCCATATTGTGCTAAGTTTGTGTCGAATTGTGCCGCAAACCGCAGCTCACTACTTTAAACAATTTTTCAGAAAATTACAAAAAACGAAATTTTAGGTAGCCCCGCACTTTTCGAATTTTGAAGTTTTCTTGATTGTGCTGTATTGTGCTAGAGTTGTGCTACTTTGTGCCGCAAAACGCAGCTTAATATATTAAGCCATATTCGAGAAAATAATAAAAAACAAACTATTTCCTAGCCCCGCACTTTGTCGCAATTGAGCTCTTTTTTTTTTTAACAAACTAGTACAAACTTGTGCCATGTTGTGCCGTCAAGCACTTTTTGTTATATTATTCCGATGAGGTGAAAACACTGGTAAAGATAAAAAAATTAATGCTACATAAATCTTCCATCAGCATCACATATCAGAATAATTCATCATTTTGTATAGCATTTCTTAATATTTTATAACTTGTGTTGTAAAATGACTTTTTTTAGAAAAGATAAACTGCCAAACACCTGTAAATAATTGTAAAGTTTTGAATAGCTTTGATTAAAAAGCTATTAAAACACTAAAACACACCTGGGAGTAAAAAAAATGTAATATTTTTGTATTGGTGTTACTTGTGCTGGACAGATGCAACAGCTTGTGTTGTATTTTTGTTTCTTCAATTATGCTCTAAATTTAGTTCGTTTGTATCATCTGATATAATGTCATTTTCTTCAGAATAAGATTCTACTCTAATATACGTCGGAGAATTAGAGTTAGTTTCAAATTTTGATTGATTGAGCATAATTGGAGAGTTTGATGTATATATTAAAAGGTATCCCAAATAATATATCCATCTGCTGTAAGCAACGTAGAAACAGAAAAATAAACTATGGACAACAAATTTTTATAAAATGTGACGCAATAGAACATAATAAAGAAAAAGAACATTTTCTTGCAGAATTTCCGCAAAAACTTCAGGTTGGCGATAAATCTTTTCTTTTAGCGGGCACGGTAGCACGATACGGTGATACCGAGAACGGCCATTATGTAGGGTATTTCTACCAAGGATCTCAATGGATAGAATTTAATGATTTAATTAAACATTCAAAAACAAACCAAAAACTTACAAAATAAAACCGCATTTAATAATTTATATCGCATGCGAAACAAATTTTTCCTAAATATATTATTACTATTACTTTGATACTAAAACTCAGATCTTCTGCTAATCTATTATACTATTAAAAATACAAAAAAATTTTAAATCCACAAAAAAATTTTAAAAAATAAAAAAAATAAAAAAAAACCACAAAGGAACCAGAATACCGCTACGTCCGCGTCGTTGGTTCCGGGTAACGCGGAAAGCGGTATATCTTTTTCTCATACATTCACGTTAAATTATAATATATGTCTTTTTATATAATCATACATAAGTACAGTTCGGAACAATAACAATTGCTTAACATTGATTAACCACAAATTCACGGCCAGTATTTCATTATTGGAAAAAATAATTGTGCGTTTGTATAGCACACTATAGCACACATCAGATTCTTTTTCCTCTCGCAAGTTTTACTTAACTCTTTTAATACCTTCCCGATTCTTAATACTTTTATTTCTTATCTTCTGCTAATTTCGCGATAATAAGAATCGGCACACATTGCAGGATTGTACGTTACGGGTAACAAATTACGAGAATGTAAAAGTTGGTATTCCTAAAATCTATGTTTTTAATTTCTAATGCACATCGCAAATTAACGATCTGACGACAATTTGTCACTAAGAAAAGTTGTTGCATCTGTCCAGCACAAGTAACACCAATACAAAAATATTACATTTTTTTTACTCCCAGGTGTGTTTTAGTGTTTTAATAGCTTTTTAATCAAAGCTATTCAAAACTTTACAATTATTTACAGGTGTTTGGCAGTTTATCTTTTCTAAAAAAAGTCATTTTACAACACAAGTTATAAAATATTAAGAAATGCTATACAAAATGATGAATTATTCTGATATGTGATGCTGATGGAAGATTTATGTAGCATTAATTTTTTTATCTTTACCAGTGTTTTCACCTCATCGGAATAATATAACAAAAAGTGCTTGACGGCACAACATGGCACAAGTTTGTACTAGTTTGTTAAAAAAAAAAAGAGCTCGATTGCGACAAAGTGCGGGGCTAGGAAATAGTTTGTTTTTTATTATTTTCTCGAATATGGCTCAATATATGACGATTTTACATAATCAATTAAAAAAAAGTACGCATTCTAATATGATAAATGATTCAATATATTTTTTGTTGATTTGAAATACGTTTCTTTGTATGTATTGACTATCTATTATTGTGATTGTTATAACATAAATAATTGTAAAAAAATTAAAAGTAATTTAAAAAATTAAAAAATAATAAAAATTACATGTAGTTAAATTGTCTACTAATCTTAACTTTCTGCATTTTTTATATTTAATCTCTTATTATATTAGAGGAAGACATTGATAAAGAAGCTTTTCTGAACATTAGTGAGACTGAAGTGTCACAAATAATATCAAAAATAGGAGGAATTCGGTACTTTCTTGATAAAAGAAGATTACTTATCGATAGTGTAAAATTGGTAAACTTAAAATTTTAATTTTTGTAGATTTTAATAAACATTTAAAATTATATATATATATTTAAATCAGTTTATTTAAATCTGTGCAAAAATGAATAAAAACTTATTTTGGTTTTTTATAGGAGAAGTCGCATGAAATATCAAATGATAACAGTGAGAATCAATTGGAAGTATTACAATGCCAAAATGAACAATTAACAAACTCCTTTATAGGATTAAAAACAAAGTCTCTTATCAGTAAACATGAGAATACAAAGAATCACATTTAATGCTAAAAGAAATAAGATTATTCAAACTAACCTGCAGTAATGTACAAATTTCGATACATATAATAAATTATTAGTTTTTTAAATAATAAATAAATTTTAAAACACCAAAAAATATTAATTAAGTTATATAAATTGCTTTTTTGTTTAGGAGAATTTGCATAAACTATCAGAAGATGTCAAAGATAATCATATGTATCAAATACACGGCATCAAATGTATCAAATACAGCTAAGCGTGCTTGCAACACACATCTACAATGGTTACGATATAATACATCACCTTGGTCGTCTGTAAAAGAACATTGGGATGGATCACGTGAATTACAGCAAAGTTTTATAAAACAACATACAGGAAGTGTTTATGACATTTTTAATAAATATCTAGTACTCAAACAAAGAACGTGGTTACATGCTTGTACGTGGAATGAAAGATTTTTTATTTTTTTAAGTGTAATATTATATTGATTTATTACTGTTATTTATTTCAGTTGGATAGAGTGATTACAATGCTTTACTTAATGAAAAATCTAACATTTATAACGAGTGGCCTGAACTGTCTGAGAAATTAGAAACTTTACTAGAAAATCGAGTTATAAAAGATAAAACCTTTGCGAAGCAACTGGAAGAGATTCAACTATATGGAAAAGGAAATAGTAATATTATTTAATATAAAAGGAAAAAAATTCACTTAAGAAATATGTACATTATAAGTACTTATGTTGTATAGAACGTAGAGATATTAGAGGTACTGCATTGCTTTCTCTAATACCTGTACTGTGTCCTTCTAATGTGCGATTAAAGATACCAGGAGGAAACAAAATATGGCGACTTACTATAGCTGAATCAGTAGATGCTTTTATTTGTCATATTAAAGTAAGCTATTTTAAATCGATATTTCTGATTAAAGTTTAAAAAAAATCAACTTATATATTTTATCTAAAATCTAACTTAAAATACAATAAACACTAATTATAATCTATAATAATAAAAATTTAAATATTGTAGGTTTCAGGAGATTTTGAAAGAGTAAAACGTCGTAGACAAGAAAAAGCCAATAAACTGAAAGAAACTCTACAATATATATAATTGCAATAGGACCACAACTAACTGCAATTGAAGCATTTTATATTATTATTGATGATGTAATGTACAAAATGGAAAATGTGTTAAAAGCCGTTGACATTTTGTATAAGATTTTTCAAGTTCTCAATGTCAAGTATCCATCTGCCTGTGAACAGGTTTGGTTGTTTATATAAAAATATATTTATGGGCAAACCACAAAATGGGATAAGTATGATAAGTCAGTAATAAATCTAATTGACAAGTTAAAGAATAATTAAGAACAAAATATATAGAAATGTTCTTCATGATATTAATCACTTAGATAAAGGATTTGTTCACAAAAGTAGTACACTACAATGTACAAGTACAATGTTTTGTACTAGACAATTTGATATTAATTTATACATTAATTGATTTTCATTGATTAAGTGAACTCTCCAATTTGTAACTTTGTTTGAGATAACTTTAAAAATTATGTTTATGTAAAATTCTATGATTTTTATTTTACATATAACAACTTTAACTGATTGTAAACATAGTTTTACTTAAAAGTTGATATGTGAGTAGCTTTTCCGCTATTTGAAATATTTTTTCGATTGTTTCTTTAATTGAAAATGAAAGTTTTAATTGTGATTCTATCATTCAGGATGGAACTAGTAGAAAAAATTTGTCACTTACTCTTGTATTAAAACATATGTTAAAATTAAATGATAGTGTTACGTCCTGGGGACTCCACGGGCCCCTTTTTCTTGCAACGTGACGCGCCGACATACAATAAATTCCTTTTTTTTCTCAATAAATAACACGAACGGACTCGGACTTCGACGCGATAGACGCGCAAATAGAAATCGTGTCGAC